GGTAAAAATATTAATAAAATTAGTCCAAGAAGTATTTACATCATTAGTTGCATAAACAGGATTAAGTAAGCTCATGTTTAAAATGACTCACAAATTTGAGATGATCCGTGGCAAAATCGTCTGAGTTTAACTTTAAGAAGTTAAATGACAGCAAAACGGAATAAAGCAATGAAGCACAAAGAATGCCTTTCACTCCAGGTGCCATGCTAATAGCAACAATCGGCGCTAGAATCAGCCAGGAATTAGCGTTGATCTACAAAGCGTGAATAAATCTTGGTTCTTTATAAACTAAAATAACCCGTAAAGCATTAAAACCTCACGAAAATAAGGTACACTCACACCATTAGAATGTTCGCCGAACAATTCGTAATGAAAATCCACACCAAAAGGCATTAAAACACGAAAAAAAACCGGCAGAGAATCAATAACCGGGAGCTCCACAGAAACACGTCCGCACGCCTTGCCAGCAGGCTCATAGCCTTTGATTTGATCAAATCATGTTAAAACGACACTTGAAATTGCTAAAGTAAGTACTGATTTATGGCTGTTTATACATGGCGGCCATCTTGGACGCCATCTTGAATTGAGGTATATTGATTATATCACATTCTAAATTGTCTGAAATGATTTACTGACTCAAAGAAATTGATATTGTTTTAAAAAGATCACGATTATATCACAATTTGAAGCTGTTTTATGTTATGGTCGCCATTTTGGCGGCCATCTTGGAAAAAACCACTCCCATTACTAAAATCACTGTTTTGGGCTATAAAGACTCCCCCTGTATTTTTTCAACCTCCACACAAATTTGACCGAACATATATAAATATTATTTTTATATATGCATATATATATTATTTACGTATATATATATGTATACATATATTGTATGTATATTTATTTATTTATTTATATTTATATATTTTATTTATATATATATATTATTTATATATATACGTATATATACACGTATACATATATATACACGTATACATATATACACGTATGTATATACGTATATATATACGTATAATATAAATGCGTATATATATACACACGCGTATGTATGTACACGCGTATATATGTACACGCGCGCGTGTATATATGCACACGCGCGCGTATATACATATATATACGTGTATACGTATATATATATACGTGTATATATACGTGTATACGTATATATATGTGTATATATATGTACCTATATATACACGTATATATATAAGGGCCTATATACTTTTTAAGTCATGTATCATGCATAGGCAGGGCTCGAAATTCACGCTAGCAAACTAGCAATTTGCTAGTAGGTTTGTCATAATTGCTAGGTAAAAATTCACAAACCAGCGAATTAAAAAAAATGATTGCTAGTTGGAATATCTATACATGTGCGGTTTATACCTGGGTATAAACTTTTGAATTGCGCCCTCTCTTGGCGTAGTGGTTTTTTGATGGTTTCCCTAACGACGAGCTATTGATCATTTTCGTCAGTTAAATTAACGATATTGTGGATTTGACGCCGGATGGGAATTACCAAGTTTGATTTAATGATTTTTAGTGAGTTATAGTTAATTACTATTGCAATGGTTTTCCTTAATAAACTTTTGTTCATTTGTTATTTATGACCGTATTATGAAGCACTTTTGGTGCCGTAGGTGGCCATGTTATAGCCTAGGCCGAGAGAAAATTTATAACAGAGATTCGTTGATATTACTTTAAATTTATTGAAAGATTGTTAAGGAAAACTGGTATGAAGACGTAGGTCAAAGGTGCAGTAAAAATTATAGACTTTATGAGCAGTTTAATGTTACTGTATACAGATAAATACAGTGTTTAATGTGTTAGTTTAATCATAGTTTTATCTCAGAAAATATGAGTAGATGCCGCTTTGCTAGAGAAGGCTGCACGTTCGTTGTTGTTTGAGCTCATGAATATTCGTGACTTGCCTAACTCATTCCATTTGGAAACAGCCAGGAATCGAAGGGCTGTACTTGTGTATTGATGTTTTTATGGATATTATTCATTTGTTTTGGAATACAAATACTTATATTTAGACCTCAAACATATCTGATTGTAGATAATTACCAATGATTATTATTAGATTATCAATCATTATTATTTTTAGGATATCAGATGATTATAAATCTTGAAGACATTGCACTGCTGATTATTTGTGGAGAGCAATTGAGGTACTATACAATAATTGTGTTCTTAATAATAGGATTATATTCTGTTGTATTAATAATACGATATAAAATCTTTAGTGACTATGCTATAATTGCTATGATAATGAAAACTCTGTTACGGTTAATTAATTTTGAGTTCATGGGAAAACACCATGATAATGTTTTTAGAGAAAATCAGTTATAGTTGCAGTTGTGTAATTAACTTGTTTTATATTTTACTGTTATAGTTCACGGTAAGGATCTTTGGAAAGACATATTAAAGACCAAAGAGTACCAGTGAAACCTTGTTCGTAATTTTTTTGAAGTCTAGTAGTGCATAGTGAACTCAATTCTTCAAGCATCCCTAGAGACGAAGATGGAAGACTGGGAGTGTGTGGACTCGGTAATACATAATTTGATCTGCAACCGGGTCAGCAAGATGCATAGAACATCAAAACCTGACCAGTGGATATATGTTCCAACTGCGAAAAACCCAGCTGACCAAGCAACTAGGTCTATCCCAGCTACTGAGTTAAATGATTCATTGTGGATGTCTGGGCCTGAATTCCTGAAACAAAGATATCTGTCAACTGACCAGAACCGTATAGAAAGAAATGTAGAGCTCCTACCTAATGATCCAGAGGTGCGTCCAAGTACCATCGCCTGTAACAAGGTTGTCTTGAACCAGACATGCATTGGAGTTGAAAGATTCAGCCGAATATTTCCAGCTGGGAATCAGCAGTTCGAGCTGTTACAAATCTTAAACATATTGCTCGTTCATTTACACGCAACAACGAACTTGAATGTGGGTGTACAGGTTGGCATGTATGCCAGACACCAAAATCAGTAGAGGAGAGATTTGAAGCAGAGAATATGATTATTAAGAGTGTCCAGGGTGAGACCTTCGCTGCAGAGATGTCGGAGGTGAGAAGTGGAAAGCTAACAAAGAGCAACAAGCTCATAAAATGGAACCCTTACATTGATAACAGAGGAATTCTTAGAGTTGGCGGTAGGCTGAGCTATTCGCAACTGCCAGAAAGAGCTGCTCATCCAGCCATATTACCGAAAAATTGTCATGTATCGACTCTTCTCATTAGACACTACCACCAAAAATGCAACCACCAAGGAAGACACATCTCTCTAGGAACCTTAAGGAATGAAGGTTATTGGATACTGGGTGGCCAACGGCAAGTATCGAAAGTTATTGAAGACTGTGTGGTGTGCAAAAGGCTTCGAGGAAAGGTGCAAGAACAGATTATGGCAGACTTACCCGAAGAAAGGTTGACCGAAGCACCACCATTCACCTTTGTGGGAGCTGATGTGTTTTGACCGTGGTTGATACGTAGTTCCAAAACTCGAAGTGCAGTTCAAGCTAAGAGGTGGGCTGTCCTGTTTACTTGCATGGTTACGAGAGGTATTCACGTGGAAATATTGGAGTCTATGGACAGCTCATGTTTTATTAATGCCCTTAGAAGGTTTTTTGCGATCAGAGGCCCAGTCAAGCAGATTCGTTCGGACTGTGGCACAAATTTTGTAGGAGCATGCAACGAGCTTGGACACCAACTTGTTGACAAAGATTGTGTGAAACGATACCTGTTAGGACGTGGATGTGAGTGGATTTTTAATCCTCCCCATGCCTCACATATGGGGGGAGCTTGGGAGAGGTTAATAGGGATGGCCAGGCGCATTTTAGATTCTGTTCTAAGAGAAGTGAAACCAAGCCGGCTTACCCACGAGGTTTTAGTCACACTAATGGCGGAAGTGTCCGCAATTCTAAACTCCCGTCCTCTGTTACCAGACAGTGATGACCCAGAGCTGCCAATAAACTTATCACCTAACATGTTGCTTACAATGAAAGCATCACAGATAACAGCCCCAGAAGGACCTTTCAACCAGAATGATCTGTTGAGAAATCAGTGGAGACGTGTTCAGCACTTATCAAACATGTTTTGGTTGAAATGGAGAAAGCATTACCTACCGCTGTTGCAGGCGAGGAGAAAGTGGCAGACACCAATGAAGGATTTGCAAAAAGACGATGTTGTTCTTGTTAGAGATTCTGCCTCGTCTCGCTGCAGTTGGCCTTTCGGTAGAATTTTACATGTTGAACCAAGTGCTGATGGGAGAGTTCGCAAAGTGTCCATAGAGATGGCAGATGCTAAGAGGGTATTGCGTCCAATTTCAGAACTTATACTATTGGTACCCGCTAAGAGGATCTAATCACCTGTTATAAACTGTTTTGATTGTTCTCATAGTTAAAGTTACACTGTACTACATATTATATTGTACATTAATTAATTTGGTGTTGTAAACCTTTTAAACTTATTGCAAATTGAATTTTGATGATGTCGTCCATCATGGTGGGGGAGTGTGCGTTTATACCTGGGTATAAACTTTTGAATTGCGCCCTCTCTCGGCGTAGTGGTTTTTTTTATGGTTTCCCTAACGACGAGCTATTGATCATTTTCGTCAGTTAAATTAACGATATTGTGGATTTGACGCCGGATGGGAATTACCAAGTTTGATGATTTTTAGTGAGTTATAGTTAATTACTATTGCAATGGTTTTCCTTAACAAACTTTTGTTCATTTGTTATTTATGTCCGTATTATGAAGCACTTTTGGTGCCGTAGGTGGCCATGTTATAGCCTAGGCCTAGAGAAAGTTTATAACAGAGATTCGTTGATATTACTTTGAATTTATTGAAAGATTGTTAAGGCAAACTGGTATGAAGACGTAGGTCAAAGGTCCAGTAAAAATTAAAGACCTTTGTGAGCAGTTTAATGTTACTGTATACAGATAAATACAGTGTTTAATGTGTTAGTTTAATCATAGTTTTATCTCAGAAAATATGAGTAGATACCGCTTTGCTAGAGAAGGCTGCACGCTCGTTGTTGTTTGAGCTCATAAATATTCATGACTTGCCTAACTCATTCCATATTTGGAAACAGCCAGGAATCGAAGGGCTGTACTTGTGTATTGATGTTTTTACGGATATTATTCATTTGTTTTGGGATACAAATACTTATATTTAGACCTCAAACATATCTGATTATAGATAATTACCAATGATTATTATTAGATTATCAATCATTATTATTTTTAGGATATCAGATGATTATAAATCTTGAAGACATTGCACTGCTGATTATTTTTGGAGAGCAATTGAGGTACTATACAATAATTGTGTTCTTAATAATAGGATTATATTCTGTTGTATTAATAATACGATATAAAATCTTTAGTGACTATGCTATAATTGCTATGATAATGAAAACTCTGTTACAGTTAATTAATTTTGAGTTCATGGGAAAAACCATGATAATGTTTTTAGAGAAAATCAGTTATAGTTGCAGTTGTGTAATTAACTTGTTTTATATTTTACTGTTATAGTTCACAGTAAGGATCTTTGGAAAGACATATTAAAGAACAAAGAGTACCAGTGAAACCTTGCTCGTAATTTGTTTGAAGTCTAGTAGTGCATAATACAAAATATCTTGTAATTAGCCTAAAACTAGATTAAACTGATCTACAAAAACAAATACAAATTTTATTAAATTTACTTATTTATTTTTTAATTATGAAAATCGACTAAAAATGCCTATAATCGACGAAAAACGATCGGTTTTTTTTTCATCTTGAGCACCCAGAAACACGATGTGAAGTGCGCCACCAACATTATTTTTTTTAAACCTTGCAACAAGCTAAGTAAGCAGTGTGCAGAAAAAAAAAATCGCTTTCGGATCCTCACATGTGTTTGTTGACGGAAGTCACGAGCGATGCGATCGGTAGTAAAGGCGAACATATTTAATTTGGTTCTTTTTAGATAATAAACAATGTTTCAGGTATGATAATAATAATTTACTATGAAACCAAGATAAATAATAGGTTACAACCTAGGCTTCAATTGGCAAATGTTTTAGGCCTAGCCTACTAGACCCTAGTCTGGCTAGGCCTAGTAGACCTCCTAACCTAGGCTAGGCCTACTACTGCACCAGCGGCCGCCGACGGAACGTCTAGCCCCAGCTTTAAAAGACCAAGGCCTATCAAAATAAATATTGTACAAACAAATCTTTTATTTAAAATTGAGTTTCTGTTATGGCCTTTTTCTGTCAAAGATTTGGCTTGCTACCAATACAGTTTTTGAAATCTCTAGGCCTAGCCCCTAGCTAAGCCTGCCTAGGCTAGTTAAGCCTAGGCTAGTCTGGCAAAAAAAAAACTTCTCCCCGGCAAAAAAAACCAAAAAAACCTGCCCCTGAAAATTTCTGAGGGTGTGACACTAAACAAGTATATTTTTTTTTATTTTCAAAATAATATGATGTAAAATTAATATAAAATAAATTTTATTGTTTATAATTATATTATTTTGAAAAATTCCAATAAGCAGTACATATTTAATATGAAAACAAAATCACAGATACAAAATAAAAATTAAAGGAATGATAAACTTAACTTATTTAAAAAAATAAATTAAGTATATAATATTAAATTTTTATTTTGTATCTGATTTTCTTTTTTCATATTAAAAATGTTCTGACAGTGAAGTGAATAAATGTACAAGGTATAGAAATCAATTTCTTATACTCATTTGGCTATTTCTTTGTGATATTTATTGTACTACACTCACCATAACAGAAAATATTATATTAAAACATTTAACACACAAATTTAAAGAGGTACATCATTAGTTATTTTCATACAATTTATTTTCCGAAAATAATATGTTGAGTTGGTATCAATGTATTTTATTAGTTGAGCAGCTCATTTTGCTAGTTACATTTTTAACAACTAGCACATTTTAGCAATAGGTTGCTAGTGGCTGAAAAAGTAAATTTCTAGCCCTGCTTAGGAACGTTGACGCCTGCAAGACTCTGGTGTTATTTAGCACACTCAATACTACCAAAATCCGTTGAAAAACCTTTTGTTGCAATTTTTTGGGGGTTAAACCAAACGAGAACCGTTTGATTGGTTGACTTTCCGTCATAACATTCACCATATTGCCAAATACGGCATCCTCAAAATTACGTCATGCTTGTCACGGCCAGCGGTCTGCATTCGATCTGACTCACTCTTTTACAAGTCTCTAATTCTCATCAAAAAAGTTTCTCAACATAAACTGACGCTGGTGGCGCTTTCCGAAATGCGCTAATGTACTACGAAAAATCCATAAATTAGAGACTTGTGGCAAATCTATTGTGTAGATTGTTTTAGATAATGCGATTTCTGCCAGAGTATGCGAAATCAGTTTGCTATACATTTGGAGAATCCAGAAATTCAAAATAGATTAGGAGCAGAAAAACATTTGTTCAAATGGAGGGACCAAACATCCTTGATATTTTATGTCTGGCACTTCAAGTTCGCCAGAAATGGCACTCTAATTTTTAATTTTTTTTGTGCTCTTTATTTCTAAAATGTAGGGGGTGGTGGGGCTAGACTAACTTGAATTATGTATACGCATGTTAACCGAGGCAGTGGTGGTTCAGAAAACTTGCCGACAGGGAGTCTGAACCAAGAGGCCGACTAGTAGAGCTTCGAGGGTCCTGGAATTAAAATTCCTGGTATCCCTGGTTCACGGGGAGAGTTTTATGACTTAATATGATCCAAATATGCCTTTAGACCACATTCTAGGTGTTGATGGCAATCGAAATTACGTTGTTTGGATAAGCAAATTATTTGTTTAGTCCGACGACACGACAGCGGGGTTGGGTCCTGCATGACATATTCCCCGCTGTTGCACGAGGCTGTTGCACGCAGTCGTAATGGAAGAAACTAATCAAATATCGAATTTTTCACGAAGATATCCATCAAGAGACGTCTATGAATGATGCCTAGTACTTCAAATACTATAAACATAAAGAGGAAAAGTGGTAATCTGTCGCTTATATGGCCTCATGCTAACAAAGGAAAGGCTCAATCTAATCTCTAAGAAAAAAGAAGAATCATGTTCACAATTTAAGTTGAAAGGCCTTGTTGCCGAGTCTTTCCTTGGAAGAAAATTAAAATATAAAAGCCATATGATGGAGCTTTTTTCCAACACGGCCACAATATTAAGATGCCAATGAAGAACGAGAGTCATTACTGACTCCGGCACGAGTGTTTCCCGAATATAATTATTGTCATGACCAAGTCGACGTGTGGCACAACTCAGGAGTTTAAATGAATAAACCTGGCGATGTCAGCATTACCATTGATGACAGAATTAGTATTGATCATGGTCGAGGAAAAAATCTACTCAAGAAGCTGCTGCTACTGAAAACCCATCTGGGGTAAGATCGGGTCTAAAATAGGGGGACCACCTGTGGACCACCATGCAGCATTTGAAATTAATTAGTTGTATCTATTTTATATTAAAAAATATATTTATATGTTTGGAAAATGTATATAAATAATATTCAAAACATGATGATTGAATTGACATAATTAGAATGAACTTACTGGTGAATAATGAAACTGAACTGTATGTTATACAGTATTTTTGTGATTGATAATTGAATGGAATGTAGGCCTAATTCCTTTTCGACGAATCTATTAATGAATTGTAATAAATTAAATGTTTGTAGTTAAGTAGAATAAATACATTATATCTTATACTTTTGTATTTGATATATGATTTGAATGGAATGTAATATTTTTCGATAGATCTTTTAATGAATTCCAATTACCTTTTTGTAGTTAAAATTAAAAATTAAATGAATTGTAAGTAATTAACGAAATATATTCCTTTTATATCATAACTGTATGTATTGTATTATTTTATAAAACCTAAATGTATATATTTTTAATTGTTATTGAACATTTTGTTAATATTATATACTTTTCTATTTTATGTACTGTATCTTACTATGTGTTGTTTTGTTTCACACTGTTGGTTATCCTTGGAGGGCTTTTTGTCGCATTTTGCTTTATACTAAAATGTTGTAATATGTAAAAAATTAAAATAAATGCATCATTTGTGATAACAGTAGTTGTCAGAAAGTAATGCTGACAATTTAGGGATTGAACCCATAATTTGGCAAAATTTAAATCCAAAAATCCTTGCAAGATTTAGTAATCCAAAGATCACAAAATTGCCAATAAAGGCCATTGCCTAAATGAGGTCTGTTGTTGTTGTACTCTAAATGCAGTACAAGGCCGGTGTCACGAAAATTCAGGTACCACCGAGAAATTAGGTACCAGACCTAAATTCTCGTTTAAGAGAAAATATTCGGTTTGTCGATAAATTAATTTCCACTCTCATTTTATGGCCCTTATAGTACAGTGCATAAATATTTCCTTTGTTTTAAATTAACGACCGAGCGTTATTAATGAGGTGAACTTGTATTTGGAACAAAAACCATGAAAATAAGCAGAAAGTATACGATTTTGAATGTTTTTTAGTCTTGTTAATCCTTCAAATCGCGTCCGCAAAGACTACGACGCTGACCTAATTCTCTTCACTGCTACACCAGCAGTGCGAAGATTGTCCTTGTTGTCGCCTGTTCGCAGCCAGGCTTTGCATCGTG